TTTATGGTATGACACATGTTTTGACGCTTTTTAGTTTTTTTATCTAACTATGTATTTAAATGGTAACTCGTTTTTTGTATGTATTGTTGACACCGTTTAATACATATGTAATGTATATGTAATGTATATTCAACATTAATTATATCAATTGGTGTTTAATTTTAAGAAAACTTTCTGTTTTAACATATTAATAACTTTGTCCCTACATAAAACAGGTTATGTATGAACAGGACGAGTTCGGAGATGCACTTCATAATTAACCCCATTTTAACTGCAAAAACTACCAAACATGGGGTATTTCAGAAATGCATCTCCATATAAACCCTTATTTTGAAGAAAAAAATGGTGAATCCAGAAATGCATATCTAAAATATCCTCTAAGACAAAATATGGTTTCTAAGGTACATAATGATATAAAACTTGTATAAATATTGGGGAGAGGGGTCTCTCATCTCACATTGTTTACAAAAACACATCATATCAGAATGAACATATATTGGTATGTCGCATTTGTCTATTTCAATAACACGAAACCCTCACTTGAATTTTGGATCACGAAATACATCTCTCATGTAGATCTGAAATCCATCCTGAAAAATCTCCTACAATACTCAAGCAATCAAAGAGTTATGAAGCTTGAGTATCATCCACCATCGATTGACAACAAAGAGAAAATTTAATTCAACAAATTTGAGTTGAAGACGAATGAAGTGGATGCAACAATTACAAGATCGATCGAAAATATTCTAATGATGTTGCACCATCTTGATGAAATACAATATTAAATTCATGTTAACAGTTATCTATGTAATATTATATTTGATATTAATTTATATTTTTTTTCAACTTTCCCCATCTCCAGTTTAAACTAATAAAGTGAATTTCGAAGATACATTTTTGTAAAACTCACAAAATTTTGAAATAAAAATTATTACAGAGGTTGTGTCTTCAAATAACCTTAATATGATAAGAAAATGCATTTCAGAATTTTATTTTATTTTGAAACAACATAAAATTGCTCACTCAAAAAAACGTTGAGAGTGTTTAATATAAGTGCGTCCCAAAATATATCCGTAAGACTTAATTTACTCTCATTTTCCTCATTTCAAAGTAGGCATACATGGACACCCATTACCCCTAAGCCATCGCAGCACATAACATGCCCATCTAAAAGGATATTACTGTAATATCGACTTTGTAAGAATCATTCTCCAATTGCATCATTTTTTTTAATTAATTTAAAATTTATATATGCCAATCTTGGTGAGATGAAAAATAAATAAATAAAGAGCCAATCAAGTAAACTGACATACACATTCGCTGTACGATGCGACGTGGAAATCAAAGAAATTAAATAAGCAGCTGATGCATGTTCAATTAATCACTATAGTTGCGTCATCATTCAACTCACGTTTTCGACACGTTAAATTAATGTAATTTAAACGTTTTGTTTGTTTGTCAAAAAGAGACTAACATTTATATATAACGCATTAATTCAATCTTGCTAAATGACTATGAGTTGGAACTCACCATTCACCATATATATCATATTATAACACTCTAAAGTATATAATTCATTTACTTTATCAAAAAAGAAGAAGAAAATAATTCATTTAATTTAAAGACAAATCAGATGCATTGATTCATTTACAAAATATGGTCCAATCGAACTAAATATAGTTTAATTTGAATTTATTTTTAAATATTTTCCATAATAATAATTATAAAAAATTCTACTATAATTAATAATAATTATTCATATTTATATTTTTTTTAATAAAAGTTGATATATAGCAAAAGAGAATATTACAAATGAGGGGAATCAGTTAGTTCTAAAATTACGATAATTTAAAGAAAGATATATTTCAATTATTCTTTACAAAATCATTTCAAACTCCAAAGAGAATGGAATTAAAAATAGTGATATGACTTAAGCCGAGCGCGAAATTCGCTAAAAATTCGGCAATAAAATTATCTTATCAAAATATATGAGTGAAAACAATATGAGTTAATCTATTATGGAGACAAATCTTCCATCTATTTTTAAAAATAAGAGACACTAAATTATGGTTGGAGAATGCTTTGATCACCAAGCTAGAGTCGGTCTCAATCCAAAGCTTATTTCAACCCTTCTCAACACTAATTTCCATAGTTTTAATAACTACTTTAAACTCAGTTTGAACCGGAGAAACACACTGCAACTTTTTTGCAAAAGCCAAAAAAATCTCCCATATGATTTCGAAAAATGCCAATAGCTCCGGCATTAGAGCTTTGATGAATAAATGCACCATCACAGTTACATTTAGTCCATCCTACTACCGAAGGGGACCAAATGACCTCTTTAACGGAGGGGGCTTGAGGGGTGAATATTCACTTTGAAAGCCTTGATAAAATAGAAATCCATCATATTGAAATAAGTCGTTTTAATCGAGAGATTTCCTGACAATTGCACTTGGACGCAAATCCAATCAATAACTTTAGCAGGGGGAAGTCAATTTTCTATGATGCTTGGCCAGATTCCTAGAATGTCAAATCTTTACAAACGAGTTTATGTCAGCAGCAAAGAGAACCAGAGAAGTTTAAGGAAACCTGTTTCGACAACAAAAATCCAGCCACCCAACAATGGTGTTAGGGTTGCTAGACATTTGAAACTTTTCCATCAACCACCTCTAAAGAATTCTGAAAAACTTGCACTCGAAAATGATGCGATGGAAAGATTTTGAATTAGCGCTGCATAACGGGTAACGAGAAACCAAAGTGATGTCGCAATTCATAATAAACTCATCTGTGGGAATCTTCAAATGGATCATTTTCCACACCGTGACGGACCTGCTAGGAGGGATATTAGAGTGCCAAATTGCTTTACTCCAAGGGACATTCGGGACCAGTCTGGATATGAAACCGTAAGCATCTTTTAAATACAAGAAATCAGTAGTGTTATGCTTCCAACTTAGGAAATCATCAACACCATCCAAAGGAGGCGAGTAATTGAAAATCTTCGACTGTAAAAAGGGAAACCAAGAGAATCAGTCCAACTGGATGTTCCAATGATCGTGAGAGGAAAGCTCAGCAATAGAAATGAAAGGATTTATACCATGATGCATAAGCGAATCCATGTCAGTATCAGAATGAGCGAATCACTGGTCCAAGAGTCTGTCCAGAACTTAACATTGCTATAAGAGCCAATACACCAACAAGAGTTGCTAAGGAGCGTTGTGGATTTCGTCTTTATGTTGGTCCATATAGATGAGAATATGTGATATTTAATAAAACCATAGGATCTCAAAATTATGTTCTTTAAAAGGATAGTCCAGTCCTCTTTACTGTTGAGCAAGTCCCAAAGCAGCTTGAAATTTACAGCTTCGTTAAGACAAACCAGAGACCTCAAACCTAACCCACCTTTAGCAATAGGTTGAGAAGTTTTCTTCTAGGAAACAACACACATGGATCTACTGTTATGTTCCCCGTCCACATAAAATTTCTACAAGCCTTTTCAACTCTTTTGAGGATAGAAATAGGCCAATCATATATGTTTATCGAATACATCGTCATACTAATAATGACAGATTTAATAAGCGTCAATCTGCCAACCATCGAAAGACAAGAACCCTTCCAGCTGGACAACTTTGCAATGATTCTGTATACAATTAGCGCTATATGAGACTGCTTAACTCTCCCTATGAAAATACAATAAAATATAAAATATAGACTATATTTGATAAAAATAACGGTTGATTGATAAGTTAGCTGATAATTTATAATTTATGACTGATGGTTGATGATCGATAAGTTAAATAATTTATAACTGATGGTCAATAATTTATAATTGTTAAGCTAATTGAAGTGTTTGATAAAATTAACAGTTTAGTTAATTGATAATTAAAATAATATAAAAAAATTGATATATAATTATTTTTATTTTAAATTTAAATAAATTCTAAATGATAGTAGTGAGTTTTAGTTAAGATAATAAAATCAAATAATTATAAAAATGTTATAAATTATATTAAAATTCTATTTAAAGTAACATTTAAAAAATATATTATAAATTAATATAATAAATTATAAATGTGAGATAAAAAACGTTATCAAATAAATTTTTTATTATCATATAATTTTATAGGTATAAACTCAAAAAATGTTTTACTAAACATAGTCATATAATATATTAAAACTTTATATTTAAGAATATATTAATATAATATATTATAAATGTGAGATAAAAGAAACGTTATCAAATAAATTTTTTATTATCATATAATTTTATAGGTATAAATTCAAAAAATATTTTACTAAATATAATCATATAATATATTAAAACTTTATATTTAAGAATATGAATGTGAGAACCAGAGTTTGAATCATTGTAACATTGAAGATCACTTTAAAATAAATGAAATATTAAAAATATATATTTTATTAAACTTAAATACGGTGTATTATTTTATTTTTTAACAAAAATTAAAACTAATAAATAATAAATTAATATAATACTGTACTAGTATGTTTTATTAATAAAAACTAAAATATGGTATGTACAAATTTTATTAATAGTTTTTACTATTTATTTCTCTTCTTTAAATTTTTTTTATATTAATTTTGTAATTTTTGTTGGGAAAGGCTAACAAATGGTCAAAGAGCATTTAATAAGAAATAAAAAAGAATTCACTTTGGAAATAGTGAATTCAACATCTTAAAGTTTTAAAAATTAAATGTTTCTATATACAATTTATTTGCTATTTAATTTTTTTGACTGAACACTCGTTAGATAGCAATGACATAGGTAAAAAAACATCTTTCTACCATCTAAGACCCATACTGATAGTGTAACATCTAACACTTCAATTATATTACTTTTTTTCTCTTACCTAAAATAAAATCAACATTGGTTGAATATAATGTTTGACGTGTTGATTTTTTTAATGCAAGTGCTCTCTCTCTATATATATATATATATATATTGTGAAATGAAGTTATATAGAACCAGTGAGGACGTTACAATGAAAGAAGATCTGGTTGAGTGTTCTAAAGGCTTAAACATACCTTTAACACCGGTTAGTTTCCTAGAACGAGCAGCGACGTTGTATGGTGACAAAGTTTCTATCATCTATGGTGATCATGTCAGATTTTCATGGAGACAAACCTATGAAAGATGTCTCAAACTTGCTTCTGCTTTGGTCAACTTGGGAATTTCTCATGGTGACATTGTAAGTTGTTCATTTCTCTTTCAATTATATAATAATCAGTTTAATATTTAATTTCAATAATTTATTTCACCTAAGCTAGCTTATCTTCCATGATGTATTTTCGTAACGAAATATAATGTGTTAATAAATTGAATTATATATATGACCATCTATAATGTTTCATATATAGGATTTTAGTTTTTTTTTTTAATATAATCTTTCACGTTCAGCAATATTGAATTAAATATATAAATAAAAAGTGAATGGTTTTGAAATAATTTATAAATATAATTTGAACTTTGAGTGCTTTAAGCCGAACCTACAAAACATCAATTTATCTAAAATTTCAAAAAGATAAAAAATGAGAGAATTTTTTTATAAATTTTCAAATAATGTATAATACTAGTATTAATCATTTAAGTTTGTTTATCAATTATAGATTTCAATTATATGAAATTAATGTGAATCTTCATTTTTGAAGAAATATTATGTGAATCATTTTATAACAAAATATTAATGTAAATCGTTTTATAAAAGCTATGGTCTTAAATGTAATTTAAAATGTAGAATATATTTTACTTTTTACTTATATTTAAAAATTATACAATTGATTTCTATGAGTGAGTGTATAAAAAATAACATGAAAAATCTTTAAAAAATTATGAATAACTTATCAACAACTAATTAAAATCAACCAATTATAATCATCTTATTATGTCAAACATATTTTTCTTTTGCCATTGAAATATACAATTGATTTTAATTGGTCGTAGGACAACTTATTACAATTTAGTAAAACCAACGTTAAATTTTCAGGAAAATATATAAATTTAGGTGTAAAACCATACAATATAAATCAACCAACCCAATCAATTGTCATGCAGAAATTTTCTTTAGCCATATTTTTCTCTTTGACTAATATTTAGCCATATTTTAATAGTTGTGATTGAGTAACGGTCTTTTTTTATTATTATTATTTTTTCATTATCTAAAATCATAAATATATAAACTATTTTCAAAATAATAATTATATTGGAGAACGAATAAGATGCTAAGAGATGTCTTTTAGTTTAGTCAAAGATTTTCCATTAAAATTAAATCCTAAATATTCAATAATGTTAAATTTTTTTAAATGACAATTTTGCATTTAATTATGATCTTCTAAGTTAGCGTGTAGTGGTGGAAAAAAAGAAAATGGATTTGAACCGTGTTCAACACTAAGTTAGCGTCATTGACATTCCATACCAAAATTTACGTCAATAACATAAAACACGTTATTAAAAACAAAAACACACACATTATCAAAATTGAAACTCCATAGTTTTTCAATAATCACTTCATTAAAAAAAAAAACTATAACACACTTTTTTATCATCTTATATTTATAAACAGGTGGCAACTTTGGCACCAAATATTCCAGAACAATATGAGCTTCATTTTGGTGTACCAATGGCAGGTGCTATTATTTCTGCACTCAATCCTAAACTTGATGCAACAACATTAGCAATAATATTAGAACAATTAGAGAATTGCAAAATCATATTTGTGGATTATGAATTTATTGATTCTGCTCTCAAAGCAACAAAGTTAATCTCCCAAAAAAAATTAATGGCACCTCTTATTGTTCTAATCCAGGATTATGACCTATTAGTGAAAGATTTACCACAAGGTACATTAATCTATGGTGAAATTCTTGAAAAGGGTCAAACAGATTTTAACATTTTAATGCCTAGCAATGAATGTGAACCTATATCCGTGAATTTTACGTCAGGCTCGACGGGAATTCCAAAAGGAGTTGTTTATAGTCATAGAAGTGTTTATCTTAATTCCCTCGCGACCATGACTCGTTTCAACGTGAAAAGTTCGTCGGTTTTTCTATGGACAGTTGACATGTTTAGGTGCAATGGATGGTGTTTCATTTGGCTAATGCCCGTTCTTGGGGGAACAAATATTTGTGTTAGAGATAATTTTTCAGCAAAGAATATTTCTGAGGCAATTTATTTTCATAAGGTGACACATTTTTGTGGCGCGCCTATCCTTTTGGAAATTATTGCGAATTGTGATGTTATTAAGCCTTTTTCGCACAAGGTTAGTGTCACGGTTGCTGGTGTATTACCTTCGTTCGAAATTCTTAACAAAGTGGTGGAGATTGGATTCGATGTGAATATTGGTTATGGTATGACTGAAGTGTTAGGTCCAGTTATCGTGAGAAAGTGGAAAAAGAATTTTGATGATGATGTTACGAAGCTTAATTATATTGAAGAAGGTGTTATAGATTTTATGATGGTAGAGTTTGATGTGAAAGAGCCTAATACAATGAAGAGTGTTCCTTGTGATGGAAAAACTATAGGTGAGATTATGTTCAAAGGGAATACTTTGATGTTAGGGTATCTCAAGAATTCAAAAGTGAGAGATGAAGCTTTTAGGGATGGTTGGTATAGGACTAGGGACCTTGGTGTTAGGTTACCTAATGGTTCTTTTAGTTTGAAAGATAGAGCTAAAGATGCTATTTATTGTAAGGGTGAGTTTGTGAGTTCATTAGAGGTTGAGGGTGTGTTGATGAATCATCCAAAGGTTTTGAAAGTGGCTGTTGTTGGGGGGGTTTGTGAGGGTTTGGTGGAGTCACCTTGTGCAATTGTGAAATTGAAGGATGGTTGTAGTGCTGATGTTGAAGATATTGTCAAGTTTTGTGAAGGTCATTTGGATGCTCATATGGTTCCTAAGAGTGTGGTGTTTGGTGATTTGCCTCTTAATTCAACTGGGAAGGTGCAAAAGTTTGTTATTAGAGAAAAGATTACAGGTAATGGGTGGTGTGACTCCATCAATTAGGGTGTGACTCAACTAATCTCTCTGAGTCAAATAAAACTACAATGCACTGCAAAATTCTCCTTCAACCGCCTTCAAGAGATATAACGATACTACATTCTACATTCTCATAGTTTGATTCTAAAAGGCATTCAAATTATCTTAAAAAATAAAAGTTGGCATAGTGCCAAACAAGCCTGTAATTTCGTTAAATAAATTTAGTTGTTTTATTATTCTATAGATACTTTGATGTCATTATTTCCTGAAGACATGTCCAATCTATGTATTATGAGTTGTGTTGAATGTTACCATTAATTTGGCTTCTGTTTCTTTAAGAACGATTTGGGAGTGCAAAAATGTTTGATTCTAATGCAAGGAAACATAGTTACAAGGTTTCATCCAAAGCTTGTAACTGTTTATAATGCTATGATTTTACTATGGTAAAAATTTAAGGTACGACACTTGACTTAATTTCTCCAAACACTTGCAAAAAATTATTAATAAAAATATTGAAATTAACAATATGAATAAAAGATGATAAAAGTTGACTACAACATTATCATAAAAGTTGATCTGTAGGTGATTCCACTTAATAATATAAGGCTTGGTGGTTATTGTTGTAACGGTGGTTAGAATGACAAATTACCTGCTGATTTCTAACAATTAACAGGGGAGCTTTTGGTCATTAGAAGATGGCAAATGCAATCCTCTTCGTAAGAGAATTTGAAAGTGAAACATTTTTTTCACACTCTATTTTATTAAATATTGTCACTTACAGTACAATAATAATTCAATCAATAAAATATGAAGTCATTATCATATGATGACCCCCAAAAACACATGTGCCTAAATATTTCATGTATGTGTCAACTATCATTCCAAAATCTTGTCATTCATCAAGCACTTGTTACGTAAGAATTTAACTTGGTCTCAACTCAAAAGGAATGCTGGGCCCTGTGATACAGAAGCCATTACTCCCTAATGAATAATGTCGTTTAAGATTTTTACACAATGATTAAGAAATATAATAATATTGTCAAGATATTACATTTTTACTAAATTAACCCTATAAGTGTATTAGAATTAATGTAAAATGTGATAATTAAATAACACAATTAAAAAATAGCAATCATTTCTACATTGAAAAGTGAGAATAACATTCATTTTAAAAGAAATTTTATTTGTTAAAAAGACAATTATTTTTAGACGGAGAGTATTTGATCTTACAAAGGTAACAATGTATCATAGATATGTGGACAATCCCCACAGACGACACTCTTTTCAAAATTCTTATCACGTCAATTTATGAATTGAATAAACATTAATCATGGCCGGAAATTGGCAATTCACCTTCATCGGGTGTAAAACATTATGGACAATTAGTGAAGAACTTGCAACACTAACTTCATATGGCAGATGTCTAAATAAATATGAATATGTAATTAATTTAATGCATCTACCACTGCATCAACAACCTCTTGGGTGGTGCTTATCCCTCCAAGGTCCTTGGTCCGGTGTTTGCCCTCTAAAATGACTCGCTTCACAGCAGTTTCCAATCGGTCAGCAAATGCAGGAAACCGAAGATGTCTAAGCATCATTGCCGATGAAAGGAGGAGTGCCACAGGGTTGGCTTTCTTTTGTTGTACTACTTTTTCTTTACCGACATTTCCTGCTGAAGCACCTTGTTCAAATACGGCATGGTCAGCACCAACATTACCTGCAAAGACATTTCATCCATGATTTGAGATATTCAAGATTAAGGATAAAGTGGATTTTTTACTCGATAATCACTTCTATCTAAACACCCTCCACAAACTCCACCCCTAGGTTCAACACAAGACCATCGGCCCTATCAGATATTCTCATTAAAACCTCCATCCTGCCACCAATACTGCCCCCTCTAGAAGCTCCAGCCTATCTCCGTTTATTAGATTTAACTCTTACGTGAATTTTCTTTCTAGAGTACAGCTTGACCTCAACAATTGATTAGAAATCAGTTGTTGATTCTTGATTTACTTATATGCATAAAATATTGAATCTTAATTTTCCATTAACTGTTATCTTACTTTATCGTCTAAAGTGAATTTTTCCCTAGAAGAATAAAATGTCAATTTACCAACTTCTCTGCTCTTACTTACATTGTCACTACTATTTGACAACTTCATTAATCATTACCCCACAATTACTGCTGTTGCCTCCATACTGCAACCTGTTGAGGAAGATAAATGAACTTCCAGTTTGATTTCTGTACAACCTATATTTTCTATCTATCACTATATTTTGGCAGAGTTTTTAAAGAACGGATTTTTTTCTGGAATAATCGTCTGAACGAACTAGTCCAATATGATTAATACACTCTAAATATAGATTCAACAGTTCTGAGCAGTAGTCACCCTCACACATTTCACAACAACAATGACTATATGGAAGCAAAATACTACTTGATAAGAAAAATGGCACAAGATTATCAAATGAGAGCTCTAGAGTTTCAACATACTAGTGATAGTTATACATACCTCCCGGCATGACACCAGTTCCACCAGCAATGCCTGCCGCTGTATTTGCAACAAGATTTCCATATAGATTGGGGGTTACCTGCAAGTGGAAATAGTGTTCATTATCTTCGATACCTCTCATTGAATTTAAAACCAAGAGTAAATTGACTGGGAAAAAACGAGTAACTTGCAAGAAAGAAACATGATATTAATCAGCAACTTCCTTCAATGTTTCTTACTTTCTAGGTGGCATCAATAGAAAAAGATAGAATGTGTCCCTTTAGTATTCATTATCGTGAAACCATTACTTACATTTCCCCTAGGGATAATGAGATAGCTAGTAATAAGTATATATTTCTTTCCAACAAGTATAAAATGGCTATTTCAAACCCTCCTCTAATTAAATTTCAACCGAAAATTAAATAAAACATCCAACTGTTTTAAATAACAAAGTTGATGACTAATTTATCATATTATTCCTTTCATATAAATAAATTAAACAATGGAAACTACGTTAAAAATTTAGGATGCCACCACTGTTTCTAAGGCCATGTTCTACTCAAATGGGATTAATTTCTTTTGGCCTGATGTTTTTACTTGAATTTTCTGGGGTGGCTTGTTGTATATTTATTGGATATCCAAGGCAAACATGAAAATTATGCTGAAAATAATTGCATGTTAGCAGGGTTTTTTGTTCTATGATTTCACTAAAATGGATTTCATCTGATATTACAACTAAAACATTACTTTCTTGACATTTTTACCCTCAAAGCTTTCAAGATACTGCAACATTTTAAATTGTTCTAGAAACTACTCAAACTAGCAGAAACAGAAAGGTAAATAAATGCTTAATTGAAGACTGTTTTGTCTTAGCATGATTCTTATAATCTCTCTCTCTACAGAAACTACAGAGAGAGCATTTTAAGCAATTCAGATTTTTTTAGTCAGACAAAACAGATGTTGATTTTCTTGCAAAAAATACTAGTTTTTCCCAGCCGGAAAGACACCAATAATCCTTTTAGTAAATAGTTATTATGGATAGATTTCACTCCAAGAAATGGTTATAGTATGATCTCTATTTTTATTTCTTAAAACTTAATCTGATATAAAAGTATTAAATATTAATAAAAGATGGAAAAAACTTCTTTCACATTTCTCAAGAAAGGAAGTTAATCTCATAATTTGGTCAAAATAATCTAAATAAGTAATTGAACTTTCCAAATTGCCCCTCATAAGAACTTGCTCCGTGAGAATAAAAGGGTTATTGGAAAATGAAATCTAAATTAATTGAAGGCTAACGAATATTAACATTCAATATGGTATAATTAGTTAAATTTGATTATATTTTAACCACCCAAAGATAGATTTTCTGTTGTTTATGTTTGAGACCGAGTATAATGAATGAATTTTTAGAATATTTGATAAATACCCTTCCCTTATTATGTGTTTGCTTCAACCCCCAGAGAAAAAGAAATAGCTAGCTCCACTCTTATTAATATGTTCTAAAATGTCATGTTTTGATTGATCCCACAATTGAAAACCTTGTAAAAAGGGGGAAAATAATTTTAAAAAAAATCTTATCTTTGGTTATTCTACTCATTTATCCAGTGACTTCCATGGCAAAAGTTATCAAATTAAGCAAAAGGCAAACCCATGCCACCATGGCACTAATTCCGCAAAGAAATAAAAGAAACTACAAATAGACAAATGAGCCACAGCTTAATTAAAGAGTTGCTTATATTATGTCACCAATAAACTAATAGCACTATATTTTTCATTTAAAAAATACATTTAAACAAGTGCTGCACTCATAAACATAGCAACCAAAAGTTGATAAATAATTGGGATTTAAAGTCAAAAATATACATACCATGACATCAAACTGTTCAGGTTTTGAAACAAGCTGCATGCAACAATTATCTACAATAATTTCATTATACTTGATTCCAGGATACTTTGTGGCAACTTCTCGACAAGATTCCAAGAATAAACCATCAGCGAGTTTCATAATGTTTGCTTTGTGCACAGCAGTCACCTTCTTTCTGTTATTTAGATATGCGTACTCGAAAGCATATTTAGCAATGCGCTCTGAACAGAACTTTGTTATTACCTAGCAAAGTTTTAGCATGAGGTGCAAACAAAAACTCACAAATCACAATGTGAAGGTGCTAACATCATGAAATACATAGCATTCAAAGAATACAAGAAAAGACTATTGATTACAAAGGAACATAACTTCTCCATTTAAAGGATAACCACTAGAAAACGGGAAATATTTTAAGCATTATTACAATTAACAACCTTTAAAGGACATCAATAGCGGGGAAGCAAGTACACAATGCCCCACAATATTTTAATATTCTAATTAATTTAACTACTATGCACTACCACCATTCTATTAGTTAGCAGCATTTCCAACAAGTGTTCCGCAGATGAATTGGCAACTTCAGTAAATATGAATGTATTATATTCAAATACTACCAGTTTTTAAGGACTTAGAAACATAAGTAAAATGAACCAATTTAATTACCAAATATCATCCTCTATCACTGTTTTTGAGGGCCAAAATCCAAATATCATAAACTTACAACCCGAACCCTTACAAAACCAAGTGATCAACTCTCCAAAACCACCTAACTAATTTATAGATAAGAAGTTCACAATGGGTTTTTGATGCAAAACATGTCTAAAAATTTGTCACATTTGATTATGAGTTATCTACTCTGCATAAATTGCAAGTAAATCATCAAGAATCTTGACCATAAACTCCAAGCAAATTATTTTTCACTGCTTTCCATTTCATCTAAAATCTAGAAATCCATTTTTTGTGAGTTGAATAGATCAAATATTTGAAGTCAATTCTTACCAACCAGTAACTACTCAATTCATTCAGCAATGCAAACTTGTCTCAAACCAATTTGAATTTCAAACCTAGTCAGTGCCTAAGTACTCAAAAGCCATAAACTCCACAAATTCTCTCAATCTCTACAATCCATTACCAATAACACATTCAAAATCACACAAATACCACTGGAAAAAAATCCTTTCATTGTAACAATTTCTAGCAAACAACACACAGTGCAATGTTTTTGTCATAATTTTAATACAAGATTATAGTGGCAAACAACACATAACACATTCAGTATCAAAATAACATTTTTCTCACAGAAAAAATGTTAAGAGAAAATACCTTGAGGCTCTCAACAACACCAGGAACAACCTCATGTTCAAGTCCAGCATATTCCCCCTCTGTATTCTCCCTAATAACAACAATATCAACATTATCATGCCGCGTAGTTAACCCCGGAAGATTAAAACAGTTAACAAGCGAAGCATAAAGATCAAGCTCCTTCCTCAACTGCACATTAAGCGAACTAACACCCCCACCCATAGGAGTCTCCAATCCACCTTTCAAACAAACCTTATTCTTCCTAATCGACTCCAACACTTCACCTGGCACCGCTTTCATGTCACCGTGCACTTCAAACTTCTCAAAGTACACCGGCGCATGCATGGCCTCCATTACCTGCTCCACCGCGCCGGTAACTAGCGGTCCGATCCCGTCGCCGGGGATGAGCGTTACGCTGCGAGGTGTGCCGTCTCCGGGTCGGGGCATGTAGGTGACGGAGCGGGTTGGGTTGAGGTGGTGGCGCGAGGTGTAGAGTTGTTTGAGAAAATGCGGTGCGGATTTTCGCGTTGCCATTGGTTGTGGCGTGTTAGGGTTTTGAAAAATTGTGTTGTTTTGAGGGTTTTGAATTTTATGTAGCTTAACTATAAGACTAGAATGAGGTTCGAGAAGCCATAGAGAGAGTATAGAAAAGAAGAATAAAGTTAGAACGATTTTTAACCATTTAAGGAAAGAGTTATTAATACGTTCTTATTTTTTATTAGTATAAGATTCTTAAATAAAAAAACAATGAAAACTTTTTTTGTCCATATAAAATTAATAAATTTGACTTTGCATTTTTGATCCTAGGACCTTTTGTATAAAATTCCAAAACTTATATTATTTAAACAAATTTCTATATACTTAGAGTATTTCCCTATACCCTTGGATCTGCCTGATAATGAAATGAACAATTAAAAAAAATTGGCACATCAAATTAATTCATACTTTATACAAAAGAAATTATTTTAAAATTAGTTAATCAATCATAATCATACTTTAAATAACTGTAAACTTTTTATTCTTTCAATCATATTGAGAGATGAATTAAATATCTTTTTAATTGAGGAAATATTGTGTCTAATTTCTTAAACTTGCAAGAGTTTTTTTAAAAAAAATCTTGTTTTCTTATTTGGACCTTTAGGCCTTCTTTGTAGTAAAAAATTGTTTATTTTATTTATAAATTTATAAATTTATAAATGATTTATTTATATATTTTTAAAACATTATAATATTATAAGCATGAAATATATTCTGCTCTAAATTATATGGTGATTGAAAAGGATAAATTTTTAGTTTGGTGTAGTTATTGAGTTGTTTATTCGAAGTTATCACTCAAATGTTTAAATCAATAAAAGAATAAAAAGTAAAATTTGAATGGAATGATTTGAATACGTGAAGAGTGTTATGTTTTCATCTTCAAATAAAAGATATGATTGATAATTGTATATGCGAAGAATGCGATTAATTGTTGAGTCGATCTGAGAGATTGATACGATATCTTCGTGATAGATACTCTGAGATACATAGAGAAAATAATATATATACTCTTTTTAGGATAATTTCTTATTTTATTATTGGACTTCTGATTCTTTGATTTCGCGACCGACAAAAAACAAAATAATTTAAATGTAAAGTTTTTAAATATAAAAATTTAATGATAAAAAAGTGTAAGTTTAGAAAAACAAATTTTGAAACTTTTTTTTTCTGAGAAACATTTAATTTTGTAACAATATTCTTATTAAAATTTAAACAGTCTCATCTAATTTTAGTTGAATTAAAATATACAAAGGAGTTTCACCCATCCATACTAAATTTATTTGTTTAGTATGCTTGATGGGCTAACTTATGAAATAGCTTGTTATTGAGCTTATGAATAAAAACCACTTTATAACTCTTAAACTTAGGAAATCTCTTAATACACCCCCATAAATCTCTAACATACTATATAAAAATATAAAAATATAAAAATGTATTTAGATTTTGGAAATATATTTTTAGACGTATCTCAAATATATAAAATTCATCATTTTTATGATTAAATTTATTTCAAAAATATATTTTTAAAAAATCTTTGAAAATACATTTTCGAAACCTACTTATCAAATAACATATATGACTGATGTTTACCGCTTTCACGTGTGCCTGATCATTCCTAATTATCCACTATATTTCCGGTTATTCCGCCAATATTGGATTTTCTTTGATGTAACTTCTCTCATCCACTCACAACAAATTAGCAAGCATATTTAATTTCAATTTCAAAGTTTTGCTCTCATTAATGTCTAAAGCGGACACATCATCAAGTGTTTTTCTCTTTTTCTCAATTAATTTATTTATACTTAAAAATTTACGGAAGCATATTTTCGTATATTTTTCAAAAATATACTTCTGAAATGTTTTCTCATTTCCGAATGAATTTAGGGCGAATCTCACTTAAGACGTGTTTTATTGTGAAAATAATGCGTTCATAGATATATTTCTGAAATCTGATAGATCTTTTCAGATTTTTCATAGAATATTTTTCCACCATATATAGAGCATTAAGAGATTCTCTAAACTTATTGAGCTTGTGGGTTGTCTTTCCCAAACATTTTCAAGTAATTCTATGACGTTCTTTGTCGTGTTCTTCATTCTCATTAAAACTTTACGAGATTCATATAATTCGTCTGAAAAAATATTTCATGAAAACAACATCAAATATTAATCTAGGATCTAAATTTATGACTTAAGTCTCTCCCATCATTGAATCATTGTGACCCTTTCTTAAGCATGTGACGGCCACCATAATATGAGCATCTTCGATTCTGATAATTGTAACACCTTTAGATACATTACATTTTTTTTTTTTAAATAATTTTTTTAACTATTTATTATTTATTTAACAATGTATCTTATGTTAGCAGTTATATTTTAATTATTTATTTTATAAATAATTATCTTAATAAATTAGTAATATTATTATTAGTTTCTTTTATTTTGTGTACTTGTTATGATGCGGTAATTTTATATACCCCTTTTTGTTTCTTTTTACTAAGACATTTACAAAGAAAGTTTTGTTTATATTTAATTATAGTTATAAAAATTTAATACAACATTAATTATTGATTTGTTAATAATACCTCTAAATATTTATTGCAAAGAGATAAATAGAATAAAATAATAAAAAATTTAGGATATTAAAGAAAAAGACATGTAATTCTACTTGTGGTGATATAATAATGGTGATTCTAAATGTGATTATCAAGCAAGGGCCTTTAAGTTTCTAATATGTGAATTAAGTGAAAGCCCGACTTAAATATTGAGTTAATTATTTAAAATTTTGGTTCCTTATTAAGAAGACCGATTCATTTGCATATGATTTTGGTTATGCATAATTTGGCCTTGATCCACTAGTGAGAGTATTAGATAATTCGTCTCTTTAATGTATGAGACGTAGTTAGTCAACTGTTAAAACTTTGAGTTCTTTGACTATGATCAGGAAAGTCCTGTGAATTAATTAGAATGTGCTTGACATATCACTCTCTAGAGGTGAGAGTATGTCAAACCAACTTATTGGGACGTACAACCTAACCTATCCCGACACTAATCAGCCAGACTTTTTTTCATAGGAAGGATATAGGCTTTTTATAAGTCTATTTAGCTAAAACTACTAGGTCTCAAGTCCTAAAAAAAATTTAAGCATATGAGACCGACCTATTTAAATAAACATGAATAATTTTATTATTATTATATTGTATTTTGTACTCTGATTTAAATTAGAAAAGTAAGACTTAATTATCTTGAAAAACTTGTGAAAATAGGATCAAAACTCCTTATGAACAATGTCATAAGTTATTTTCATAAATTTTTCTAAGCAAATAGTCTCAAAATACTTACGATATTAGGTAAGCTCAGATAAGTCAATGCAAACAAATTTTTAGGTATCATTGATCTTTTAGTTTTCTTGTTTATATAAACATTAATTGAAATGTTAATTTACATATGTTCAAATAAAATAGGCTTGTAAATAGACTAACAGGTCAATCAGGCATTCGAAAAAGACAGGTTCAACCCTAAAAATAAGTTTATAACATAAAATAGGTCATATTTAGTCTTTGAAATTTTTAACAGTTCAGACTTTAGTTTGGCAAAGCCTAACTCAACCAACCTATTTCTATCCCTAGTCACCCCTATAAAGCAGGGGAACATGCAAGCATGTCCTTGTGTCTTTCATGTGACCTCACCCCATTCCTTTAAGTATTTGTCTTCCTACTTATGTGTTTGAGCGTTAATGGACTGATAACTATGACACGCATTGGACTTATATTATGATATAATAGTTAGTAATACTTTTAAAAGTAGCAAAATTGGTTGATGATTTTGGTATTTTCGATTTAAATTATAATAATTAAAAAGGAACAGGTGTGATAGAGAAGAAAATAATAATTAAATATATTATTTTAGATGGTTAAGTTTGATTTGAAATTAAAATTATTAATTGAACTTTTCATTATTATTTAGTTGGGATTTTAATATTTAGGTCTTTTGTTTGATTATCTATAAGTGATATATAATGTAGTGTGTTTTTTTTACACATTTGAGATATTAAATGAATGAAAAATATTATTTTATTTTATTTACTAGTTTTATCTTCTTCCATGGCTTATGCCGGAGAAGTCAAAATATCATTATGAATAATGTCAAAAGACATACAAGTAACTGACAAATAATTATAAAAAGGTAGTTTAATTTGTTTCTCAAGTGGATTAGAGTGACAAAAGAAATCATTTCAAAACTTATTACATAGAAAAAATTTGTTTCGATGAAGATGATTTAAAATAGGTGCTTCTGGATATCCTAAATGACTATGCCATAACTCGGGAGATGAAGCGACAAAAGTAGATGGGGGTGATGTTGTTGTGTTTTATCTTGCAGTAATGGGGTAAAGGTCATGTCTGAAAATCCTTCACAGAAAAACCTAAAGGGTCGTATTCAACCGATACATCATTATCAAATATAAATTTTCTGACAAAAACAAGATTTTTTATAAGTTTCGGTACATGTAAAACATTGTTTAAGGTTAGGGAATTTGGTAAAGTTGCATGTCCACAACCTATAACAAGAATATGATGACTATTTCAAAAATTAATATTATTACTCATATTAAAATAAAACGTGAGGTTGTCTTTATTGCCCGTCATGTGAAAAGTTACTATGTTGTCCATATATCATTGATCATCCGGAGTAAAGATGGAGAAAGTGTGCATAACAGCCTGGATGTATGTATGAGTATTATATTGTGATGTTGATTGCTGGTGGAAGTAGATGAAGAAGTGGTTATATGGACTTGATGAGGCTGAGGGCCTAGTATGCTAGATTGTTATTGTGACACACCTATTATCGGATATGGACATGGTGGAGTTTCCCACAGTTTCCATGGATATGACCATGACTATTGCTGATAGGAAGATGGATACCACTATTTTTATTGCAACTGAGAAACCTCCACCTTGACCATTGCGTCTTCTGTAATGCCACATACTGCTTTCAAGATT